AACTGGAAAACCACTTACTCTCCAAATTCAGGCCAGACTTATTTTCAACACTTTTATCACCATGTTTATCACTTAAAAATCTAAAACTACTGTAGCCCTGTATTCCAAATAAAGGGTGAAAATAGAACCAAAGTCATAATCCCAGCATAAAAAAATAAATAAATAAACCTCCCATCTCATAAACCATTTCTATCAGCTATCACGGTCACTGTATCACAAAGGTAACTAATCCAGTTACCATTTTTAGAAAAGAGAATGTAGACATAAGGAGATTAAACATCTAGATTATAACCACACAGCTATGAGACAGTCTAATGCCAAGCACTCTTATCCAGTTAGTGTTCTGTTCTCTTCATGGCAAATACCTGATACATGGATCTTAATAAGCCTTCAGTCTCGAGATGTTTCCTGTCATCCATTCATACACATTGAATAATGGGTATTTGTCAAGAATCTTTAAAATAAATGTCTGTGCTCAAAGAACTTGATTGCACATAGAGATAAGAAACAAATGGGTGCCGGGCGGTGGTGGCACACGTCTTTAATCCCAGCACTCGGGAGGCAGAGCCAGGTGGATCTCTGTGAGTTCAAGGCCAGCTTGGGCTACAGAGTGAGTTCCAGGACAGGCACCAAAGCCACACAGAGAAACACTGTCTCAAAAAAAAAAAAAAAGAAAAGAAAAGAAAAGAAAAGAAACAAATGAGTGATGCAGATTCAGTCCAATTTTAAAGAAACCAATTAAATATCAAGTTTGGAGATATATCTCATGGCAATATAAGCCAGGATATACATATATATATATATATATATATATACATAGAACCTTCATTGCCCACATACATACTTACCTCTAAATATCTATTTAAATAAATTATAAAATAATTTTAAATTAATTTTAATTATTTAAAAATAATTTATAAATATTTTAATTATGAGTAATTTTAAAATTATAATATTTTTTAATTATTTAAAAATTAATTAAAATATATTTTTTAAAAAGAAAAATATTACAGGACTGAGAGGTAATTACAAGAGAAAATTCAGATGAGCCTTGGCTCAATAACAGTAATATCCAGCTTGTAAACTATGGGGGCCCATCCCTCACCCCCACATTTCTCCAGAGTACTCTTGAGTAGAAGCTGCAGGAAATATTAGTTAGGAGGATAGAAGGGAGAGAAACAGATAGAATATGCAGGATATGCAGGATAGCCTGGAGAGGACCTGGATCCTAATCCACCAGGCATCTACTGTCTCTGCTCTAGGATATTTAAAGGAATGCCAAGGGGTAGAGCAGAAGTCATCCCCCTGGCACAGTCAAGTGCCTACCTGCACTCAGGCCTGTGGTGCAATCATCCTCTCTATGCAGACCTGCTGGGTAAAGCCCCGAGGAACCTGAAAATGGGCTCCAACAGTAAATTAAATCACGGTAGTCACCCATATACCTGTGTCTTTATTCTAAAGCCAGTGAACATAATACTTTAATAGAAACTTGCAGTTATGATTAATGTTGAGGGACCTGAGATGGAAAAACCATCCTAGATTACCTGGGTGGAGCCAAACTAATGAGATGAGCACTGAAAAGCAGAAATGTCTTCCGGGAAGAGAAGGAAGAGAGATATTTGGAGGGTTGGTGGGATGGGCAAAGTAGAGAAAAAGAAACATTATTGCTGATTTTAGAGATGGATGGAAGCACTGCTGGACAAAGGATGAGAAGCTAGAAATGGAAGAGAACGGAGTCTTTCCTACAATAGAGAGGAACACAGAAAGGGTCATAGTCTAGATTGACTGGTGCTTGACTTTTAAATAAGCTCAGATAGTTCAAGTACACTACAGCAGCAATAGACAACCAATACAGCTATCTCACACATGTCCAGTGGGTCACAGAACTCTTAAAGTGATGAAATAGTCCACTCCCAATGCTGTCTGGAGGGTTACACTGGACAGCTAAGAAACAGAAAGCTCAGTGGCAGTGTGACTCACCCAAGGATTCATCGAGTGCATCTCAGAGACAGGCTTTAAATCTGGGCTTTCCCAGTGCCCTCTGTACTAAAACACCCACATGCAGCGTTACTTATTTGTATAATGGGCTGACATGTCATGAAAAGTCTTTATTGGATCTTTATATCTCTTAATTGTCATGTGGTAAAGGTGATCCAGTGAAACACCATACAGGTTGTGAAAAGAAAAAAATAAATAAATTTGAAATGTTTCATATGTCTTCGGTTCCTCTGGACTGTATAACTGGAAAGCTATTTATCCTCATGATGCCAGCATAGAGCAACCTGTATCATGCTCAAAGAGTTTCAGTTTTTATAATCCATAAAAACATTTATACTTTAAAATGGAAAATTGTTTCCAAGATTCATCCTGTCAAAATTTATAGTAGATTTGATTCTGTAATAAGCCAGTTGCCTAAATGCCTCTGTAATTTTAATTAGACAAATCATCAGAGTAACTTGCTTGGTGTACCACCTTTGTATTGTGAATTGTCTAGTGAATTCATTGTCTGTTTAGAATTCCAAAACCATTAGTGCAAAAATAAAGAATGTCTGTTCAATTTAAACTAAATTACAGAGACCATAGCACCCATGTTACATAATAACCAAATAAAAAATGTGAATAATTTATTTGTAATGTACAAATAACCAGATAGAAAATGGGACCTGAATATTGAAAAATACTACTTGCCTAAAGACATAGAGTCTTGGAAGAAAGAATGACTTATATGTTCAATAAAACTTTTGCAGTTCTCAAGGCGTCTAATGAAATTGGATGAGGATGGCAGGTTAATGTGAACTAATTTCATTTGAATCTAGATGTATTCTTTATAAAAATAAGTTTGCACAAAATCATTTTAATTCATGTACCCAGAGTTAACTAGATAAGTTCCTAGGCTATGTTTGTTTTAGATGAGATTACTGAGATAGTGACAGGCTTTAATCTATATATTGGGATGGATTGTTATAAGTATTCTCATACTGTCCAGATAAGTAGTCTCAATTTTTATTTTATTTAACCACAGGAAACAATCTTCATCACTAATGACATTAATGATTGATGGATTTTTGAATTGTTACTCATCCTCACAATTATTTTGCTTTTATCAAACTTATACAATATCACAAGCATCAAAATCTTATTTAAATACATTTACCTAAAGATACAACATCATTTTAAAATACTGTTTCTAATATGTACAAGTCATTCTGGTAGTGTCATGTAAATAAATACTAAACAACTAAAGGTCAGGGAAGTTACAAGAAATTTATGCTTTTCTTATCTGACTGAAGATGAAGATATAATTATATGCAAAATAAATATTATATCAGATGGTCTCCTGGTGGTCTTGGGTTTACACATTCTGAGTATTGGTTGATGGCAACTCTTACTTGATCCATTCTTCCTTTCATACTTGGTGTTCTGTTAGCCCTCTTCATAGCCTCTCTCTCTCTCTCTCTCTCTCTCTCTCTCTCTCTCTCTCTCTCTCTCTGTGTGTGTGTCTGTGTGTGTGTGTGTGTGTGTGTGTGTGTGTGTGTGTGTGTGT